AGAGAGAGAGAGAGAGAGAGAGAGAGAGAGAGAGAGAAAGCAGTGAGTTTGTTGGACAAATTGAAGAATCATATTGAAATTGAGGATGTTCTTCAGAATTCCTTCTCGCTATACGTTGGTGAATGAAAATCAAAAGAGATTTATAGGATTCAAGTAATCAAATGCCATTTCCACGATATAGTGCATAATTCTGAGCACTGCACCGGCGAAGCCAATTTTGACTTACTTATATTAGCAACAAACTGTCCAAATTAGTATGTGAAAAAGAGGATTTAGCTGACCTGTTTTAGTGCTTCTTGACAACGTCCTTAGACCCTGCGCCAGATTTATAGGCAGTATAGTTCGCGTTGTATCCTTCTATCCTAATTGAGCTTTATTAAAGCAATCTGCAACCTACATAAACGGCGCTACAAGTCTACTTGAATGCAGAATGTGATTTCGCTTTATCGCCTTCCAGATGATGAAAGAGTCAGATTAAGGTAAATAGGTAAAAACAACTCAAAAGAGACGCTGCCGGCGGTAAAGCGGGGTAAAGTGCATATAACAGTATCATGCCTGCGGTGCTTTTTTAATATTCAGTGGAAGCTGAATCAACAATTAATCTGTTGAGTGCGATTTTTAAGGGGAAAGATCAGATGTATGTGTCATCTTTAGTGTAAAAATTTTAATAAATATTTTTAGGGGTCTAAATAGTGTTTGTACTCAGATCACTAGAATGAGTGAAGTATTGTACACAGAACCCTGATTTGCTGTCTCAGGCAGAAGTGACCACTGACGAAGCCATAGCCAACGTTTCTTGGCTAATGTGTCAGTGAGGGGGATAAGACAGCAATGGTAGCTGCTTTTATATGATTTTGGAGCTAGTTCAAGTGGTGTGCAAGTGGTGTGTAATGTCGCCTAAAGTGGCCCATGTTGCCTCGGCCAAGGGGTGGTGTGCTCGAGTGGCCCTTGGACAGCCGCAGCTCTTTGTACACATATACGTGTGTGATAGTGAAAGTCGCAGGTCAGCGAGTTGTAGATCGCTCGCTGCCAAATCGCATAACCTTGAGGCCGTGGGCAGTAAACAACGACGCCGGACAGTAATGTTGACTGTCTGCCATATATTCATCGAGGGTATTTGAGAGTTTTGTCCAATTAAGAGGAATATGATCAAACCCCGCTGGAAGGTGTCAGCCACGTACTTGTGAAATTCTTTATCGATTTTAAGAATTTAATTGATAAAGTGATACAGAAGAAGCTCCAGTTTTTCACCAGTTTATCATTTTGCAGAGTGCAGTCACTTATTTTCGCGATATGAAGTACAGTCTACCCCCAATATTCACTGGGATTAGAGACCACAGCTACTCGCAGGTAGCTTGAATTGGTCAAAACTTGGGACACCCTCTAAGAGCGCTTATAACAGTTTAAACGCCAAATATACCTTAAAATATCACCCTAGCATATCTTACTATTATTTCCGAGTCATTTTACATGATTATACTTAAAAATATATGGCTTATAGCTGCACCTACAGTTATTATTTCTACAAAGGCGAAAACTAATCAAGTTATCTCTATATACAGGCAAGCACATTTAATATTAATATCTGAAACTTGGTAGATACTTTTCGGATCTTAAAAGTATTGAGTAAATGAAAATAATTAGCACATGTTTTAGATATGCTTTACGAAAAATATCCCCGAATAGGCGAGCATAAACTGTGCTCTGCCCCATGCTAATACGATTATTTAGTACTGATTTCCACTTAAATCGGCGAGCGTTTATAGCAGGAAGGTCAAGAGGTGATGCGAACGCACGCCATTGAACGGTGCGTGGCCTTTTCTACCAGTGAATGCTTGATGGACTAATTTCCTTGCTTTCTGCATACTTACTCGAATGCTCATATAGTAAGATTTTAACAATTCGGTAAACTTGATAACTGCACCCATCCTTTTACATTCCCATGGACTAATTCCGTTAATGCACTCTATGGGTATTCATTAGAAGTAGTGCTTCAGGTGAAACCTATTATAGCCTGTACTTATAATAAGTAAAACGTATCCTTTCAGTGCGACCGACTACAGGAAACAGGAAAGCTAACACATTTTTAAAATTTGTTTGCCGTGCCATGCGCTGTTGTGTTACAATGCACATGTTCTAATTGCTACTTGCCAAGACTTCCTTGTTTCTGGCTCGACATTGGAGCATCTATTGCGCTAGGTCAGGTGGACGGTTTTAGTTCGCTCCACAGCACACATTTTAGTGGATGTGTGCTTAGTCCGCCAGAAAGCTATTTGCGAGACACTGCAGGCCCCGCAGAACGGAAAATACAAGTCTTTCCGTATGCTGTCTAGGAACACTTTCGGTATGCGCAGAAGCCCTGCTTTCATCCACTATTCTCCCCTCTGGCATCTACCATTCCGACCCTCCCCTCGACGCTTTTTCCGTGAATTAAACAAGGCGGTGCATTTGACCATCGACATCGGTGACAGTACCAGTGCCGATCCAGTCACATCTACATCATTACCCTTCACGGTTAACTTTCCGTTTTTTGCTTGTCCCTTTCTAGGACCATTCAACCGCCTGGTTGGCGCCCTGAGTGGCATGTCAGTGTACGCGTCGAGAAGAACTCCAAACTGGTGGGATTCATTGCTGGTATGCCGAGTGATATGGACGTCCACGGCACGTAAGTCCCCCCACTTTCACGTCAGGCCGGATTCTTATACATTCGTTTTCAGGTAATTGTAGTTGCTTGTGACCGTTCGCATTCGTTTTTGTATGCCCGGAGAGAAAATGGTACTATTTTTCGAAGCTAGATTTATCTGAGTGGCCAATACTCCCGCAATCACTACACTACCCTACAGAAATTGAGTTGCCATCATGTCCTCTGCCGTTACATATTGCGTCCCTCATACGTATGCTTTTTCCAGCTAAAAGGAGTACTCCAGTTGATGTTTCCTAACTCGCATCACACTGTATAAGCAGACAACCTACTACTAATATGGTGGTGATTAGAAGTTCTGAGCACTGTTTATTACAGACGGACTATTTAATACATAGGGGTGTTTGTTGTCAGTGGTTGATGCCGACGTTTTGGCGACTACCGTGAAGGGTATTGATGGCAGTGTTTTAAAAAAATAATATTTTTGGATAATTTGCGGACAAGTTCTTGAAAATTTCAGAATGCGGGTTTTATTTTAAAACCTAGCGTTGCCTACACGTTTGAGCCAGTTTGTGTGGCCTCTTGTAAAACTCTCGAAAAGAGTTATTACACAGCAGAACAGCCTTAAAAGGGAACTTTTAAAAGGAGAGCAAAGGACAGCGCAGCATTTGATCATACGGGGAAGAGCGGGGGCGTAAGAGGACGGGAGAGGGAATGAGTTTACATCTTTCATCAATCCTCATCACGGCTATGTGAGGTGATCGCGTGATCAAGCTGCTTACAGAGTTCTGGTTTTCTCCGTATTGCAGCGGCCTCTGCAAATCCTAGGAGACGACCCTAAATGTAGTCTTTGGGTCGACCGTATAGCCGGTGCCGCCAGGCGCTTAGTGCTTGAACTCTTAGGTATCTTATTTTCCGCCCTAAGCAGTCACTTCAGCAGAGGTTTGACTGACCTCGTTGCCAACTGCCCTTGCGTGCGCCCAATTTATTTGCATCCACAACTGCATGTAAACGCAAATGCAGTTTGATGTAGTGTGCATAGGCAAAATGCCTTTAGTTGGTCTAACTGGCAAAGCCGCTGTTGTGCTTATGAACAACACTTTTGAGGCGGTGTACATCCTTTCAATTGGGCATCGAAGCCGTCGCTTGATCACCGGTTTTTTTTGTAACGGATATTTTTGCGGTGGCAATACCTATCGATAAATTTCTCAGGTTACAGATACATTCCTTGCCAGAAATTACCGTTTATGAATTTCACTCCCGCAAAGACTTGTTTCGGGTTATTTGTAAACAGATAGGAGGTTGTTAATTTTGGAAACAAAGTTCTGTGACATATGGGTCGATTTTAAGTTATGTTCTGTCGTATATATTTTGAAACCACACGTTTGTAGTAAACTTTTATCCGAAAGTTCGATTAAGAAATGTTACTGACACCTTGAGGTTCGGTTTCTTTATTTAAAAAAACAACCTATTGCTCTCACCTTACAAGGTTATTACTTCTGGGTCACTCCACACATATTATTTTTCAGGTGTTCACACAACGATCAGTGAGGTAGCGCAAATGTAATTTTCAATATTTTTGCGAGGTGTGCAAGTGTTTTCATTCCGTGTCGAAGTACACCTTTAGGATTTTGCACCTTACATAAACAGTTTTTTTCGTAATTTTGTGTAACATTTAGATTGTATTTGCATTTGTTAACTTACTGGTTTCAGGCGTGATGCCCGCTATGTAGTTAATTCGTCAGCCTAGGAAGTTAATGTTTTCTTGCACCAGATCTAATAAAACGTGTTACTTGCCGCACCTCAAGTATTCGACCCACGCAACGTAATTCGGACTTTGCAGTGTTGTTTGAGACACCCGTCCCTGCTTTATCACACTGATACCAGACGTTTGGTTTATATTTCTGAGTGGCAGTTTAGGCCTAATTGTATCTTGGCAGCAGTATTTAGCCCATATTTATAAGTTTTTCATAGGAAATTTCAGAGAGAGACCTCCAAATGGACAGATTTAATGAAACGAAAACGACACCAGAGGGCTTGCACACCGCTTGCATCTGATGGTCGTGTAGTTTGTGGTCGGTACCCAGTTGCACTTTGGAAATATAATTGCCTCCTTCATTGTTCACATGATGGCAACTTCAAGTTTATAATTATTCCCCCCCGCCATGGCTGATGCTTCGAGTTTCAAATTCTCTTCATAGGAAAACTGTCCTATTTTCTATTGACTAACAACCGGCTATACCGCTTTGACCGCTAAAGCCGCGGAGAGACGAAGACGATCGATATGCCCGCAATCAGTGCAGTATGATTTACTATTACGCGTAGGCCGTTACTGTTTTTCGCGGTTTGCTATTTTTAGCTTCATGCGCATACCTTAAATTCAAGAGAATATTTACAATACATTTGCAACCGAGGTGGGACTTGAAAAACTGCAACTTGCTCAGTGAGCCAGAAACTTCCTTTCTGGTGCATACATGCGGAATTTAATTTCCGTCGGTAGCTTTTTCTGCCTACCGACACCCTCAAAAATTGCCCTTTTCCTTGCAGGCATACTCGGTAGCTTACCGAGTATGTTGATTGAGATATTCCTTTGCACGCCAGTGGTGCTGAGTCTAGGGCAGTCAGTGGTAAGTTGGGAGTCATGCAATATTTTAACTGACATTGTTAATCGTAGAGCACTAGCTAGCGTCCCCATTCTGCGGCCTTAATTGTTATTGCAACCGTGGATGGCGGTGATGATAATCATGGCGAGGTCGGCGACAGTAATGGCTACGATGATGATGGGTTTCAGCTCAGGTCCTAGGTACTTGTCGATCACGACCCAGCATCTCTTTATTTACTGAAGCTGCTGCAGGGACTACTGAAACCTTGGCGTTCAGTTTGCTCTGGGCTTTTTGAAAGCTCTACGTTTTGTTTTTTTTGCGCCGCCGAAGACGAAGGGTTGCGTTCATTTTTTGGCCTGCTCAATCGCAAGAGGGTCTACGTACACGCTAGATATGAGAGGGTGTCCTAACTGAGCATGCGTAACTTTTTTCCTTCTCTCCCATCGCTTTGCAGTGTGAAGAAGATGGTCGAGATCAACTTCCTGTGTGTTCACAAACGTTTGCGCGACAAACGCATGGCTCCTGTACTCATACGTGAGATTACTCGTCGTGTCAACCTCCAAGGCATCTTTCAGGCCGTCTACACCAGCGGCACTATCCTCCCCCGGCCGGTCGCTACTTGCCGGTAAGTTTTCACTCTTCTGCATTTACCTCCCAGCTCTCCACTGAGCCCACTATAGCAGTTTGTGGATCAGAGTTTGCATGCACCCATGTTAACATCATAATATTCCCCCTCAACCTCAATTTGGGCTTACTTTGATAAGTGTCATGTGTGACACGAATCGCATATTCGGTTACTGATACTGTTGTCCTTGTAATTCGTAATAACTGTTTATTAGGCTTATTTGCGCTGTTTCCTGTGGTTAATTA